TTGTCGTGTTACTATTTGTTCTGATATTTGGAGTGGAACATATCATAATTTGTCTTATATGGTGTTACTTGTCATTAGATAGATAGTGATTGGATTATGCATACACTTGTTCTTGCATTTCGTGATTTCAATGAATCTCATACTGCTGAAAATATTTTTCTATTGCTTGAGCATATTCTGTAAGAATACAATTTAGTTAATAAAATGTTTGCATTTGGATTTGATAATGCTACTAATAATACAGCTGTTATTCGTAGACTTAAAGAAATTTGCCCCTCTACTACGAGTATGGGTAGATTTCTGCATCAAAGGTGTGTTTGTCATCGACGATGATGACGTTTTACCAGCGAGAAACCCTCCCTGACGCTCTGTTCTCTCTCGTGCGTATTTCGTGCGTGTCTATCTAGAAGTGACGGGCTGGGGCGTTTGTTTTTTCTTTTTATTTTATTAAATTCACCCATTTTGAGACTTTGGGTCTAAGATTACCCTAATGGATATCCATGTGATCTAATTAGAACCCAATTTCACCCCAAACTCACCCATGTGTGTTTCTTTATCATTTTTAAGTAAAAAAATGAGTCTTTTTAACTATAAAAATATTTATAGACTTAAAAACCAAGATTTATGTAATTCTATTATAAATAGATATTTTTTTCTATAAAAAGTATTTAAAAATAATTCTTTTAAATATATGAAAATCCAACTTTTTAAGCTCTAACAAATTGATAAAAGAATAAAGAAAAGAGGATGTAGCTTCTAACAATGGTCACTTTGAACCGCCCAACTAATGCATATGTTTCTCCTTTCTATCTCCAAAAGTGATCACTTATGAACATTGTTTTATCCTCAACCATCGAAATTGACCATTCTATCACGATGTTTCTTCAACCATCTAAATTGATTTTCGCCCCACAACCTTTTTGGTAAAAATCAACCAGGTCCCAATTCTCTTCACAGAATCGGAAACGTCTCCAGTCTTTAGGCTACAGCTTCTATACTCCCTATTTTTATTGGGCTAAGGCAAGCTACCCCGAAACTGATTTTGAATTTTTTCGGGACCCAGGTATAAATGCCCCGTGGGCTCCCAAGAGAGATAAAAGATTGTTTTATGACAAGTTAGCGCAAATAGTACCAGCCTATTTTCATAGTTATTTATGACTAGAGGTGCTCAAGTCTAGATTTGTTTGGAGTTTTTGGGATTTAGTACGGTCCAACATAGGGTGCTCGCCCTTCCAATCAATTGTTTTTCAATTCAAGACATCATTTCCTTTCGGATTCGTTATTTAAGGGGTCAGAGGTTCCGTGCCACCAATGCCACGTTTGAAAGGTCTTTTTCAAACAAACCTAAGCCCAAAAATATAAAGACTATTCAAAAATCGTCTTGGAATAGGTCCTAGGATTCTACCTATATGACTGATTTTAAGGAACTTCAACCAAGTACTAAATGTCATGGAAAAACTGTTCAAAAAGTCTCTTAAAATCTACAATTAAACATGCATTTTTTTTCTTTCAAAAAATGGATGGTTTCCTTTTGGTGTTTGAGGATAATAACAATGGTAAAAAAGTGGATCTTTGATTTTTAAAATTGGTGAAGCACAAGCATTAATCACACTTAGAAGCTAAAAAATTTCTACCCTTGGTCTCCTATCATTGTCGTCCAAAAAGGATAAAAAACCAAGTGCGAAAAACTAGCTATTTTTGCTTAAAAATTTGTGTCCAAATTGTGCTCAAAACTGTTTTTTTAATAAATGATTTCAAAAAATTGCCTAATTTTTGAAAAAAAGTTTGAAAGTCAGGGGTCAAAAGTTGGTTTAAAAAATTGGCCTGATGTGCCTTGTGTGTGCTGTGAAAAATAGTGTATTTGGAAAGGGGATTGGTCTAGGGGGTGTCAAAAAATAAAATCCAAAACTCTCCCCTTCACTTAAAATTTGCAGTGCTCTCACTGTTAACTCTCACGCATGCATCATACATCCTAGAGGCTACCATCACACATTCCACAACCTTAATAGGCATGGGACAGAACCAAAAACAGTGTCCATATAGTCTGTTACAAAACAGTGTTTAAATTACAAAAGAAAAGAAAAATAAAGCTGTAAAAAAAATCTGGGCAGCCCCCCAAGTGATGCCCTCTTTATGACCAAACTTGTGCATCTTCTTCACTTCTTCCATGGTGGTTGCCACACTTGGTTTTCATTCCTACAAATAGGAATACACAGTTGCACACCAAATCAGTACAATCAAGAATAAAGTAGGCAACAAAATGGCTGTTTCAGAAACTGATTTTCACACTTACTTTGAAAGTCAAGTTCTTCTTGTAAAATATTAAGCGCTGTTTCAGAATTAACTTGCCTTTGGAAAAGTTCATTCACACTTTTTCAAAGTTTGACAGTTTGGAATCCATTCTGCCAACTTTTTCTAAAACAATTTCCAACATTTGGTTCAGTATATCCTCAGGAGAGCGCTGGTTTTCATAATGAGATTCCTATTGTTGAGAAAAATCATTAACACATATCCCTTGATAAGAATTTGAAGCACTAGTTGAGTTGGATTCATAAAAACCATGCACATGTTGAGAAGAATCATACTCCATTCTTTGGTTGTGATAATTTGAGTAAGCACAGAAGTATTCTTTCAAGTTGGATTCATTAAAATTAGGAACATTCTGCCTTGGAAGAAGATACTCACAACATTGATTTTGGATGTTTGAATTATGGCTCATGTAAGGCTCAGAAATTCCAGAATTTAGATTATAAAAACCAACACTCAAGTCAGATTGCTGAAAATATTTGCATTGTTTAGAGCTATGTCCTTCCAAAAAACAAATTACACATTTAAGCTCTTTCTCTTTCATTTTAGCAGACTCTTTCAATACTTGAAAAATCCTACAAACCACAATCTTGATCAGATTGTGAGAGCGCAGAATATTCACCACAAGTTGTCATAATGAAACAACCAGAAATGAAAAGTGATGTTTAGAGAACTTTCCTCAGTTGCTTCAAAACTAAAATTTACTGCTCAAATTGCACTTAAGAGTACAACTAAACAAGCTTAAACAGAAAGTCAACTCCAAACAGAGAACAAACAAAATTGTTTTTTTTTTTGAAAATAAAACAGAAACTAAAAACAAACAATTAACTTTCCCCGGCAACGACGCTAAAAATTTGTAAGAGCACTTGTAAGTGTTTACAAATTAGTACTTAAGTACTAACTAATATTACACTCTTCCAAAGGGAGAGTTTATAGTATGTTTTTAGCTAACTGGTCGCTTAAACACACACACACACACACAATTGGGGGGGGGGGGGGG